TCAATTCGAGGGGGGGGGGGGGGCGTCTGAATTGAGCGATCAATTATTAGACCCGAACGACAAACTCAAGGTATCCCCTAAAGGGCTACCTTTCGTGATATAACATCAATAACCCCTTGATGAGCACATGGTATACCATGGTATACCTACGAATTCATCAATGGCTTACAGTCTTCCACGACAGGATGTTTTTTCGCCACCTCCAAAGTCTGATCACGGAACTCGACAGCTACGGGAGGTTTTGCTTGGGGTGACCGGGGCCGGGACCGAGCCATGTGGAGCCATGAAGGACCTATTGGAAGGCTCTAAATCCGACAAATTGATTGAAGAGTCCTTGAATTTTACCACCCCTCGCAATTTTTCTTCCAGATTCTTTCCAGAAGCATTCTGGTGGTGTTTCCTTGTTGAAAAGCCATGTTTCGGCAAAATCTGAGTTCTTGCCGTCCCACAACTGCTGGCTCCTTCTTCGCGCTCTCCTTTTCTTCCCTGCGTCTCCAATCTGTCAGGAGCAGTCCTTGGTTCTTCCTGCTTGAAAACTGCTTCAAGGCACTGAGCATCTTTCCGGTTGGGTCGATTCGATTCAGAAATCCCTCACATGGAGATGGCTTCACGCTAAACATCGAACCAGCTTGTGGGGAGTTGGGGAAATCTCAGGCAAGTGATGTAGAGCTTAAGGACGCATCCTGGTGGAAAACCTCTTCCTGTTGGATTTCACCTTGGCTGCAGACCTGCCATGGAAGAAGCACTAGAGCAAACAGTATGCGATTCGTATCCAGACCTAAAGTCCTCTTCACCACCTGACCGCCTGGAGGGTCTGGCTTGAGTTCCCTTCTCATTGACTCATTGACAACTTGCTTTTCTGGAAAGTCTTCCACTTCATGAATGTCCACGTTGGCGGAAAGTCGACATCTAAGCAACACAGCCTGCACTGTGCCAAAGAAGTGATCGAGAATAGAACGAAGTGTCAGTGTCCATTTCTGCAATGCCTTGGTCGGATATACTATTCAGTAGAAAGCAAGAAGCATCAAACAGGATGCTGGTCATGCCAGGACCTGGACGCAGCATGCAATTCAGTGGCGGAACGCAGAATCTGGGACTCTCATCCTCAATCACGAGGTGACGTGCTTCCTATTACTGAGACTTTGTCCCAAGCCACCACCGATTCGTTTGCGTCTTGGGAATGGTCCTGAAATGGATCAACACTTGGATGGACTGCTCGGACTCTGCTCTTCATCTGTCTGACGCCACAGCTGTCTGAGCATTGGAATCAGCCGAAAAGACCGGCCCACATGCGACCACGGCAGCCTGCCGTGATCGACCACAGCAGCCTGCCGTGATCGAGTTCTCAGGGTCGACTGAGCGGATCTAGCACAATGGATGTGCAGCACAGCTTCATGAGTTGGTCACACCAACTCATGAAGCATCAAGCTGTGCTGCGAAATGACTGACCTGACCGACCTGACCGACCTGACCGACCTGACCGACCTGACCGACCTGACCGACCTGACCGACCTGACC